GTGTTTATACGCGTCAGTCTAAAAGTTCTAGGAAACGTTCGGACCGTCAGAGACCGAAACGACAATCAGACGAGATCGCACGGCAGGTTGAGCGCCTAACATCACAGACGGCCGCACTCGAGTCAATCGCACTTAATTTACAAGAAAACATGCAAAAGCAATTGCAACGTGCTTCGTTCCCGATCGCTTCTTCCACCTTATGTACTGTGCCTTATACACAAACTCACTATCCTCGTTCAGACCCTCACAAAGCACATTCGGTCAGTCTAGGCGGTCCCATAACAAACGGCCTGGATAAAACTAACGTGGGTCAAGACAATCCGGTTTCGGCTCCTGTTCAATTCCCGTCTGATCCACACCCATCCAGTCATTCTCTTCCGCATAGTCATCATGAACTGGACACTGATGCTGATTCCTCGGCATTCACCGACCTCAGTCAGGTTTCGTCTGCTTCACGCAATGGCCATCGACACACTGACCGAACGTCCTCTTCCTCTGCCCATCAACAATCTCCACCTTATTCTCTGGATTTATCTCAACAGTCTGTACCCCATCGCTCAGATTCTGCTTATTCCAGTCGTCAAACCCGGACCACTCAACCTCCACAGTCGCTTAGTCTGTTTACAGCAGCATCTCAAGGCCGTGGTGAAGCGGGGATGAAAAAGCCAGTCCTCATCACGGCAAGTCCTGTGGAGACAGATCCCAATCGGATAGCTGAACTCAATAGACGGAATCGTTTGCAACCAATGCATTTACGTACCAGTTATCCGGTGGAGACTCAGACCGCTAATCCGGAGAAGGTCGCAGTAGCCTTACGACAGTTGAGTTCCAAATCACAAGGCAAAGACGAGCTGAACGGGTTCCGAAAACAAAACGGCACGGTTGCCCTATCCACCGTTCCGGAAGAATACGGGAATGTTCTTCGGGAGATGGGCGATGAAAACATGGCTGACCCATCACAATCCTGCCCGCGACGCCAAATGTAGCAGGTTCTATTGCGCGGTATCGGTAACCTCGAGAGCTCGCTGTAACGAAACACGGAGAGTCAATATGGACCCGCTCAACACACGCACTCGGATACGGAATCGTGGCGAAAAGACAGAGACCCGGGAAACACGTATATTGTCACGCAGCAAGCGAAGCAAAAAGTGTACATAACCAAGGGAGGGGAACAATTAGTAAAATATTCTGCCGGTTTGGTGTTGTCGGGGATAGGACCCGCGTCCTGGTGTTCGTGGGTAGCTTCTGGGTCGGTGTATGTCTGTAAATAGAGCAACAGGAAGATAGATTTATACGCGGTCTGTTCAAATGCCCCGTTACAGTTTCGAGGGTGTTACAAACTATATATTTGAATTTACCGGTATGCTTCTATCGATTACTCGTACGACTACTCAAGGCCTATCCCATACCAATATATACCGTCGAGTAAGAGGCCCAAAAATGTAGTATAATAAGTTTATTATACAGGAACATAACAAATGTACAACAATGAGATTTGCTTTTTATCCATGCTTGTGAATGAACTTCTTCAATACGTGTACACGGGTTCCTTCTTGATAATTGTATTCACTGAACTGATGACGATAAACGGCACCTGGAAAATAGAAATATAAAAGAAATATTAGTATAAATCAGGGACTTGTAAAATAATTATAATAGAAAGCATATATGAGCTCAATGATCAATTTATCGAACACATTCCGAATCAGTTCAGTTCAATCCTTACAACCATTAACCATACACTTTGATGCGCCGGTTTTGGTTGCTGTCTTTGGGTTGACCATTTGAATAAAACAGCAGAATAGTCATTAGAATAGTGAGAGCAGATTTAAGCGGAAGGTAGCATATTTTCATAGACTAAAGTTACAAGAATAATGAGTAGGTGCATCAGCGTCACTGTTTAAGACACCCAGCCATACCGCTCAGTGTCTCTTGCCACCGGTGACCATGATCTTCGGGTCCCCAGCCAGGGAGCCTAACGGGACCTATGTGAGCCAGTCTCCTGGTCAGGGTTTTCAAACCTTCATGCCAGGTTTTAGCTTGACCGCCAGAGTTTAGAGTGGTCGACATTCCGAATAAGCGATCCATTGAAACTGCGTGATAATAGCGTAAAAGATTATAAGAAAAAGTGCACAGGAAATAAGCACGCAAATGTAAATGGAACACAGTGAATAAATCGTTACAAGATATAAGCATTCCAAACGTTATCAGAATTTTTACTTACCCATGATTTCGTCTGTTATATGTGTTGAGGACGATGTGTGTTTCCCACCAATGCCATCCAATTCAATTGATTACTTAGCTGCGGAGTGAACACGCGTCTGACTAGCAGACATATCGACTCCCGCACGGTCATCCCCACCAGCAACGAGGTAATCCACATGTAGCGATAAACTCCATATAATTAAAGTTATATTTGCTGAATTGATGACGGTAAACGGTATCTACAAAATAGAAATATAAAAGAATATTAGTATAAATCAAGGAAGTTGTAAGAAGTATAAGCGATAGCTAATATGAACTTCATATTTGATTTACCTAATGTATTCATTTTAAGCAATCCCTTAGTTATGCGTGATAACTACCTTAGTTATTAAAGAAAACTATAGAGGAATAAAAAATCATTGAAATCGGTAACACACGACCAACTTTCCATCACGAAATATCTGTTATGCACAATGGCGACGGTGCGTGTTTCCCCGCGGATACCACTCCAGTTCAATTCATTGTTAATTAAGACAAAGGCATCATTAACTTATATTTATTTATAAATGAAATGTGCACTAAAATTACCTTTCATTTTGGATATCAATTATTGTTGATTGAGCAGAAAAAGTCGACTTATTTAGTCAAATATCTCAATAATTAGCTCATTTCTGTAAGCATAAAGATTAGATATCTCACCTTGATAGTTGGCATTGTGTATTAGATGTACTTGGCGTTTGATTTGAGGACCTGTGTATTAAATAATTGAAAATAAATAAAAACCTCACGGCGTTAGTGGTGGACAGTTCTTTTTCGGTCTCTGACTCCGGTAAGCAGGTATTGCTGCTTCCTGAGTGCCATATGTCAACTCTGCAGTCAACTTACCTTAGGATAAGCTGATAATAATGATAGCAATTGAAAATCGTCCCCATTTAGGCAATAGAACCTCCTTGTTTGAGATGAACCAACTTTGCACTGTGGCTATGGCATTATCGGCGAATTCAACAATAAAATACAACTAAAATAAAGTTAAAGTTACGGGAGAATTCACATTCATCAGCGCATAATAAGTTTACAACGATGCGTATATTCGGATAACTGACATATATACATTTTCATCTGTGGTAACTAAATGCTAACATGAATGAATTATAATAGAAACTAAGGTGCTACCTTCATTTTCTAAGCGTGTATAGGTGACGGCGATGGTTAATCATACAAAAGCCGATATGGCGGCCAAACAAAATGCCCATCAAAACTAAGGGTCAATTAAAACAAAAGCGGAAAATTTTGTCGATAAAGTAAAAATTGAAGAAACTAATTTAACATTTATGAAAAGGTAATGACTTATTATATAACTCTGCAAAGCTGAAAGGAAGAAAAGACGAGTTTTGGAACTAAATGCAAAGTTCGGAGCGTTTTGAGAGCAAAAATTGCTCTGATGTGTTGGCAGGGAACGATTAACAAGGATCGTACTTCAGAGCTTACCTTTTTCTTGTATTGGTAAATAGTATAGCAGTAGTTGCATCTGATGATGAAATCTCTGCTTCATATTGCAATCTTTCTTTGTATATTAAGGCTTTATTGTAACTGTCTACGTAAGAAAACCGTATGATCCAGTGATACAATTTACGTGTAACCCTAAGCACATGCACCTTATAAATGGTTACACCTGTCGGAAGATCTCCGGTCTCAAGGATATGAAGAAACATTTTGCTTGACATTGAACGTTTCTTAGGCCATGGAACTTTGTTTTCCGACACTTGTCATGAACGGTTGTAATGGTGTTGTCCTCAAACTCCACTATGGAATACATCTAAAAAATCTAGTTGATAATTGCTATCAAACGGCATTTATAGTAATAACACCAGTTTTGTTTTAAAACACAAAATATATAAGTATTATTTATTCGGTTATCGCCAAAAATACAGTATATTATCTTTTCCACGTATGTAGCAATGAATAAAATACAAAACCCACTTTGTATTTAATTACAAAGCATTTTCATTGCACCTCTTTGCGTGCTATCAACTCTTCCTGTCCCATCAGTACACAAGTCCGAAGGCAAACAATTGTTTTCGAATGATTCATAATCGTGCCTGTACAGATCATATAAGGGTTTGTTGTTAGTGGGGACACATTTTCACGCTGGGTCAAAGGGTCATTTGGGATGAGGAGAGGAGAGGGGAGAGGTAAGCTCTATGTGTCTGTGTTCGGGTGAGACAATTGTTCGCCTTCGGACTTGTCTACTGATGTTACAATGGGATTATTTCGGAATTTGAAACATTACAAGGAGCCCTGTGTAGT